GCGCATTAATCGAGGGATACCGGTATATGTAAGAATGATGATGGTGATGATGATGATGATGATATCTCAGTTTTAAACACACATTAAATCAGTTCATCATATCAACAAATTTCTTTGGTTGGTAGTTGTTAGCAAGCAAATTTCTTCTGTAAAGATTTTGATCTTCACTTGGTAACACATGTTTGTGGCTATATAGTAGACTAAATTAAGCTTAGTAAATAACTTATAGCGCCGTTGTTTGATTAAAAGAAATAGATTCCCACTAGGTATCTTATACATATGGTTTTGAGACAAAATTAACCTAATTGAATAACTTGTGATGTCTATGAACATATGATAAAAATTTATCAAGTGTAAAATGAATCATTTTATAAAAATGTCAATTTCTCAATAAAATGTTCGGATTATAACTTTTTGTCTACATAACCTTTTAGATTATAAAATTAGTAACTTTAAGTCAGAAATGTTTAAAATTTTTCCATGAAAAACAGTCTTTTTAAAAAAAATTTCAAGTTGTCTTAAATTTTTGATCAGGAGTGTATGTGTATATGTGTGAGAGTCTAATTCTACGTTCTTAGAGCCAAGAACAATAAAAAAAGAAAAAAAAAAAGAAATTAAAAACATTCAGAAGAAAAATATGGGTGAGAGATCTTCTGAGAGATCTAAAGAAAATTACATGTGTAATAAAGAAGAAAAATAGAATGACTAGTAAGAAAATATTTGCACAAACTAATGTTGCAATTTTAAACGGAAAGAAAACATGCAGAACATTAACAATATATGCTAAAAACATAAACCTAGCCAAAATATCGACTTTCACTAAACATCACAAAGAGAAACGAACAATGGCGATGCCTATGGGGGAATTAGCCGTTCCTTTTTAAGCAAACATTTATCATTCATTGACCAAAAGGTTAGAATTACTGTCGGTTCAAATATAACATCTTCCTATTGCAAAAATGTTTTTCAGGAAAATAGGTTTTTTCAAGTTCACTGTTATCGTTCTTTCTAATATCGATAGCGGTTTCCTTCCTGACTTTTTGTTCAGGGTTGTGTGGAAAGTAAAGTAAACTTTATTATATCATTATTTTATCATCAAGTTACATGTGCTAAGCATTTTGATTTTGTTGCGGTTGAAAGTCTTCAAGTGATGCAGTTTCTGTTATTTGGTAAAAATCTTTGTGATTCTGTAGTGCCAATCTATGAGAGCCAACAAAGAACAGTCCTCTTCAAAACCTACGGGGTTCATTCACTTGACTCCATTTTTAATCATTGATCTGAGAAAACGGTTATAGATGATAGTTCAGACATTTCTGAACGGGATTGACGCCATGCATGTCATCTATAGGACAATCTCGATCTGACTCGGCTATTTAAGAACCCGATTCGAGTTTTTAGGTTTGGCTTTTGGTTTTGTATCGGCGAAGCAGTGCATGAAAATTGATTTCTCAATATTGATTTTAATGATGAATATTGAGCTGCATTAACGGAAACTGATGGCTGGACAAAACATTTATGGAAATAGAGTTGGGTTGGATCTTTCGTGGAAATAAATAAGGTTGAGTTAGGGTCTTCGTGAAATAGGGTTATATTGGGCCCTTTGTGAAAATAAGGTTGAGTGCTTCGTGGAAATATAGTTGGGTTGAGTCCTTTATGGAAATAAAGTTTGGTTGGGTATTCCATGAAAATAGGGTTGGCTTCTTCAGGGAAATAGGTTTTGGATCCTTCGTGGAAATAAATAGGGCTGAGTTAGGCTCATCGTGAAATAGAGTTATATTGGGCCCTTTGTGGAAATAAGGTTGAGTGCTTCGTGGAAATATAGTTGGGTTGGGTACTTCATGGAAATAGTGTTGGTTCCTTCGTAGAAATAGTCAACCAACAACCTTTCGAAGACAATAGAGATGGTGTAGACTTGTTTTTTGTATTGGTAACAGTAAAGATATAGGCCATTTTTTGCTGGTGACGATGATGTCAGGATAAATACTTTGTATGGTTGCAAGTTCCTGGACAAGGTGCTTGTTTTTTTAGTGGTAGAGGTCACAACCAAAATTCTTAATCGAAAGATTATGTTCATAAAAGACAATGTTCTTTTACATTCTGAAAAACAATTTCTAAAATAAAAAATATATTAAAAAAAATATTTCAATGACATCCAGCCTCTGCAAATATCAATTCAATAAAAAAAAAAACTTATAAAAAGAGAGATAGATGGGATTGAAAAGCATTATTCAAGTAAAGATCTTAGAGTAGAAATTAAAAATAAACTGACGGATAATGGATAGTGGCTCGAATTGAGGAATCGGAGAGCCGAGTTCGAATTCCAGTCGAATCCATTAATTGCACTTACGTGCTAATACTGTTGGGAAAGACATGAATCCTCTTCATTTTCGCCCAGCTGTGAGTAAATAGCAGGACGGACCGGGTTTTATAGTCTTGGATGTCAACTGGGCTAACGCAGAAAGAAATGGCAACCTAGTGCGGGAAAGAATCTGCTTCGTCAATCATGTATTTTTCGATACATGATTGCCTACGCGTGTATCACGTATGGCACATAACTGAATGATGTCAGTAATGTTAAAGTCAAAAGAGTAGAAAAGTTAATAGAATCAACGAAAGAAAGACTGATTACTGTTTTGGAATATAAAGAAATCCACATTAAGATGAAAAATAACAAAATAATTGACCATGGCTTATGGAATATATTGTTAATTACTTATATGTTACTATTGTCTATGTATTTCGAATTTTAACATATCACGTTGAAATCTCGTTTCTCGTACGAAATTAAGCAACGTTGAGTACGTAGATGGGTTACCGCTTGGAAATACCAGCTGCTGTATCCTTGGGTGTTGTCGGCTGGTGTAATGGATAAAGACTCGGAATTGTAAATCGGAGAATCGAGTTTCAATTCCAGTCTATTTCGTTACATTCACTTACGAGAACGGTATGGGTCCATCTCTTCAAACCTCGGCTATGGGTTAATTAATAAAACTAATAGGAGTAAATCATTAATATCTAAAAATATTCTTACAGTCTAAAAATATTTTCTGGTTTTAAATGACCTTCAAAGGGTTGATAAGCCGTAAAAAAAACAAATCAATCAAATCTTTCGAAATTCTTTTCAATAAAAATAACTTATTTCATTTATGTAATTAACAAACCTGTGTCACCGAAAACATAATATATCAATGTTTTTCCAGACTTCAAGTGGAATTTATATAAAATAGTCATTACTAAAGATGATATAAAAATGGCCGGCTTATTTATACCACTCCGGAAATTATCTGACTCCACCTGCCATGCTTTATCTTTACAAAATCAGATCAAACCAAATATGTAATATGGCTGCCATATCTGGGCTGGAGCTGCAGTCTTTACATTCCAGCTTCGAGTTCAAAATTGGTTACGCAACCTTGTTGGGTGGGTGTGAAGACTTCTTTTCTCCTTTCCGCAACCCCTTTACCACGGACGCAACATCGGGAGACTATCGCTACTTCTATGACCAACTTTCAGAAAAGGGCCACCATCTCACGCCTTTGCAATCAAGACCTTCCTTATTTCGTCCATAGCGTTGAATCATCCTCATTGGCTCTTGAGTAGCTCTTAGGTCTTGTACTGCGTGAACTTTAGTAAAAAGAAATGAATAAAGCTATTATAAACTGGAAATCACACAATATATTAATTATATAGGTAAATTATTTCCTAAACATTTTGTTACCAACATTGATTAATCACAATTAGTCACAATTGTATTGAGAAGAATTGATTGTTGGTTGATTTATCAACACCTCTATGGGATATTTAATACCGAATGTAAATAATTTGAACAATTCTATGGCTTCAACTAAATATATTTGTAACGCAACTGTGTGCCTTTGAGTATAGATAAAATATATTGCTAGTCGTGTTACTATAAAAAAGTATTGTTGTTAATTTTTAAAGTAAAATGAATTGTTGGTATTCTTACTATAAAAATGTATTGTTGCTAATTTTTAAAGTAAAAATGAATTGTTGGTATTCTTACTATAAAAATGTATTTTTATAATTTCATAGTGTTTTGTTTGGGGTTTCATTATTTGCCCATAGCTTCGACCCTAACAAGTGCTATCACCCTGGGTCAGGTTAAACCTGGGAAAACAGCAATTTGGAGGTGGTTCCAGGCTCCTCAAAAACTCCAATTTCCCGATCCGAGACTTTGCTGCTGGATGTAGTTTATCGTCATACCCAGGACTCCTTAAGATTTGACATAGAGTAGGTTATTTTCGAAACTTGTAAGTGTATAGATAAGTGCATTAAGTTATTTTACGTGTAATTTGAATTTGCATGACTATCAATGCGACTAATCGTATAGTTTTATTTGTTTAAACGCATTTATTAGATATTAGTAGGGTCAATGAAATTATGAGAGTGTAAAGACAAGAGGAAAAGAGAGTGGAAAAATAAAGAATGAGGAGAGAGAAAAAGAAAGAGAGAAATGAAAGACGGGTTAATAAAAAAAGAGAAAGTGTATTACAAAAACGGGAAGAGAGAGGAGGAAATGTAAAGGAGAAAAAAAAGCGGGAGTGGAAAATAACAAAAAAGACAATAAGTGAGAGAAAGAAAGAGAATTTTGTGAGATGGTGACTGGGAAAGAAAAGAAGAAAGAGACTGTGTAAAAATATTTAGAAATAAAGTCGTAAGGGTTTTAGTAACAGAAAAAAAAGAAAAAAAGAAAAAATTGTAATGTGTGGAAGAGTTTATTTTATGTATTGATTGATTCGTTTTTTAAGGAATATCAACAAATTTCTGTTTATTTAAAGCCAGAAAATACTTTTAAAATTGTAAGACGTTTTAATGGTTTGGTGATACAAGTCTTATTAATTAACCCATAGCTGAGGGAGAAGAGTTACCCAAAGGTATTTACACATTAGTGAATATAACAAAACCCACTGGAATTGGAACTCGGTTCTCGGATTAACAATTCTGAGTCATTATTTATTATACCACCCGTACATCCAACATTACAGTACATGGTTTTCCCACCCGGTCACCTATCTAGGTACTGACCAGGCTCGAGGTTGCTTAACTTTGCTGATCATACGGTTACGGGTGATTCAACGTAATATGGCCGTAAGCCCCTGTAAGAGTAGGAAAAGGATATGTGTGCTAAGAAAGAAAGAAAGAAAGAAAGAAAGAAAGAAAGAAAGAAAGAAAAAAGAAATTTTATATAGAGGAAGAAAAGTTTATGTATGTGGAAATAAAGGAATCATATAATGTAATAAAAGAGTTTGCATGCACGTGAAAGACGAAACAAAAAAAAGAACGTAAGAAACCTAATAAATAAAGATGGAAGCGAAGAAGAAATGAAAGTGAATGAAACTGACATAAAACCAATTGGGTAAAATATAAATGTAACATTAGCAAAGGAAAGGAACTGTTGCAAAAAATAATGGCGTCTCTGTAGTTGAAGTGCGATCGCTTTCAACATCAATACAGGAACGCTTGTAAAGACAGCTCGCTTAAAAGGCACATGCATATACAAATTTAAAAAGGACGCATAGACGCACACACTGATATACAAAAGAACCGCAATATTGGAATATCGAATTATGATACATAAAAATATAATATACACCTCAGTGAGTAGCCCTGCGCACATACCGGAACACGCTATGGAGGTAGATGCTAATGTTGCGAGTAAGCAAACTACGCATGCGCAAATAAGAATTTATGTTAGTAACTGTCTATACGCGTGTCAGTATACTTTGTATGCGTGCGGATACGTGAGTGTGTTTGTGACTGCCAATAAAGAATTTCAGATCAGGGACATTTATTCTTTATTTGATCTTTGCAAGCACACGCACACAATATATTTTTGCACGGATTTAAACATTGATCCCATGCTCAAATATATCAAATGTGTGTCTATACACTTGCCGGTGGATAGTCGATCATGTAAACGTTTTGATGTTTTCAATAAACTGAGAAAGTCCAAGAAATGATTTCCTTTGCTACGCAGTTGCATCATTTACACAAACACTTGGAAAAGTGGCCAACGACTTTGGATAACAAGACCCGACTCATAATATGTACATTTTAAATGCATAAATTAAACTAAACTTAGCGTCCTGGGTATGACGATAAACTACATCCACGTCCTGGGTATGACGATAAACTACATCCACGTCCTGGGTATGACGATAAACTACATCCGCGTCCTGGGTATAATGATAAACTACGTCCAACAGCAAGGCCTCTGATAATACGTTTCTGAAAAAATAATGTTGCCAGCTGTACGCTTTTGAAAAAAATAATATTACCAGCTATACGTTTTTTTTTTGAAAGAATAGTGTTGCCGGCTATACGTTTTTGAAAAAATAATATTACCAGCTATACATTTTTGAGGAAAAAATATTAACAGAAATAGATTTTTGATAAAACAAAAATATTACCAGGAAAAAAAAGTTGTCGGCATTAAATGACCCATTGAGGTTGATATACCGTAAAACAAAACAAACCAAACTTAGCTTAGTCTGACACAAGGATATTGTAGCACTCAGTCAGGATCAAACTCACTACATAAGCAATGATAACCGATAAAACTTGTCTAACCGTCGTGTTACAACAGGCTCAACTCTTGCATTGGTTATTTCTTAAGCTTTTCTTTCTTACTTAAGTTCATCCCATACAACACCCAAGAACGACTAGAGTATTACTGCGTGAAATTGTTATAAGGACGTAAAGGAGGGCGAAGGAGGGGAGAAAAAGTAGGGATATGTAAGATAGATACCGGTTGACTCTAGGCTTGAAGAGGTTAAGACTGTAATGTTCGGGAAGCATCCTCTCGGGAGTTTGTTGCACAAAGTGAAAGTTCTAGGGAAGAAGCTGTCTGAGTGGAACTTCCTCCTTACTAATGGAACACGAAGGGAATGGGGATGATTTTATGCTGGGAACACGGCACGGTGGATCATAGCTGTGAAGGTGTGAATTGGTGGGACTATGGTACTAAGGAATGTTACTCTTCCGAACATCTGCCATAGCAATAGCGATAAAGTTGTGAGAGATTAGTAATGTTTCGTCTGTGGCATAGCGGTTGCAGGTTGGCGAATAATTCATCAGCCACAAGGCCTCGTAATCTCATGCTGAATAGCGAGGATTGGACAGCACCAGCCCATATGTGACAGCAATACATCTTTCGTAGTCTGATCTGACTCTTATAGAGCATGGCAGTAGGGGTTGGGACGATACAAGGGACCGACCATTTTTCCATCATCTTTAGCAATGGCACGAATATACGAGTTCCATTTGAGATCTGGTGGGAGATTTAGGCCCAACAGGCGTCAGAGGCAAGAAGGAGTGTAAGCAGTTTAGGTTCTGCACTATGATGATGACACATTATTACCTTTGTTTTGGAGATACTGAATTATACAAACAGATCTTTCCCCATTGAGCTGTGACAACTAGGCCAGAAGAGAGAGCATCAGTTTCCAGGCAATGGTCATCCAAATATTTTGAGCTGCAGCCATATACAATGATATCATCGATATATATATATATATATATATATATATATAGAAATGAAACTTACATATAAGTGTGACTTTTTTCTTTTTCACCCAGTACACGTCACAATGGTCACTCAATGATGAGGGATACTGAGTGGGAATATTGTAAGAGAAGGGGAAGAAAATAGAAGTGTTTTTTATGAGTATATGTAGGATAGATAGTGGTTGACCCTGGATTTGTGTAAGATTTTAGACACGAGAAAAGCACCCACCTTGGAGTAAGTTTCACAGACTCCTATTCTTAAAGGAAAACGAGGTGAATGGGCATGATTTGGCATATTATGACATGTCCTATATGTGAAGGTTTGACCTGGTTGGTCTAAGGAAAGTAATTCGTAAGAACGTTCGTCATAGTCATAACCATGGAGAAATGAGAGGACAGGAACTTTTTGTCTGTGGAGTAAGTGTTGCAAGATGGTAAATGCTTCTTCACCCGCAAGGCTCAGATAATCGCTTTTGAATTCTGTCAACCAAACAGACTTGTGTAAAAATAGGTTTTAATACCAGAAATACTTTGTAATAAGAAAAAAAATTATTACCAGCAATAATTTTTGAAGGAAAAATTATCGGCACCAATACTTTAAAAAAATACCAGCAATACAAACAGTTATACATTCTTTGAAAAAGTATGCCGAGCTATAGATTTCTTCAAGGAAAAATATTCCCAGAAATAGATTTTTGAAGAAAAACATTACCAGAAATATTTTGTCAACATTAAATAACCCATTGAGGTTGATAAGCCGTAAAACAAAACAAACAACCAAACCAGAACTCGTATATTCGTGTCATTGCTGAAGATGATGGAAGAATGGTCGGTTCCTTGTATCGCTCTAGAAAATACTTAACTCCCGTTTGACATGCACTATTTTCCCAAGAGTCAAATCAGATCTAGCTGGACTGGTACTACCCAGACCTCATTGCACAGCCTTGACAGAATTACATTGAAATATAACAACTAACAAATATAACAATTTCAATTTTAAACTTACATAAATACTGACACCATTTTTTATGGTACTGGTAAACTCACATACAACAATGTCGGCATTTACGAAACTTAGATAAGTTTGGTAAAAGGCTATTGCAGAGAGATAGCTCGAGTAAAACTTGTTACATGAGTGAAATGACTTCCATAACGGTAGCATCCATTTTATTTTTAAAAATTTTTTTTTTAGAATGTCTAACGCTCAACTTCTCGAGAGCTTCTCTTTGCGACTACTCGGCCTCACATTAACTGTTGACCTGAGATGTAACAAATACATTGAGTCAATAGCTTCGTCCACCGCAAGGAAAATTGACTCCCTGTGCCGCGCCAGGAAATTTTTCTCGCTGAAGTCGATCCCTCAAATCTACAAATCAACCATTCGCCCTTGCATGGAGTATTGTTGCCATATATGGTCTGGAGCCTCTTCTGTTTGTTTCAAGGTTCTTGATAAGATCCAGAGACGGATATGCAATATAATTGGCTCTGATCTGGCATCTCGTCTGCAGTCGCTCTCTCATAGACGTGCCGTCGCCTCCCTCCGTCTTTTTTACAAATACTTTCATGGTAACTGCTCCGATGAGCTGCTTTCGCTGGTTCCCAGACTTCATGAATTTAAGCGTTCTACTAGGCTGGCATCTCGCTCACAGCGTTTTACTGTCTCTTGTACTCCAATAGCTTCATGTCTCGCACCTCTCGCCTGTGGAACTCCCTCCCCTCTTTCTGTTTCCCTGATAGCTATAATCACCGACTATTCAAATGTAAAGTCAATCGACGTCTCCAGATGCCCTGATCTATCCCCTATACTTCTCTTCATCCTTTCCTCTATCACTCCTATTTCCTCTCGCCCCAACTCTCTGTAACCCCTTGCGTGCTAGTGGTTGCCCGCCTTGCTTGGAGTGAAACGCTTTAAAAAAATCATTTCACTCCAAGCGAGGCAATAAAGCCGCTAAGACATAATTGTTCGTTTTGTATTTTTGACCAAACGCTGCTCACTGGGATTGGTTTATTGCATATCGCACTATAGTGGGTACCATTTAAAACTATTTGTTATACGTTGATTCAATCGGGGAAACCCTACGTCCTTGTCAATGCCTTCAGGGTGAAGGGTTCCCCCGATGGAATCAACGGCCACGTTTCTTTGACTAAGGTGAACCGGTTGTGATATGAGCTGGAAAGGGATGGGCTCTGCCAGCTCTATTTTGCCCAAAACAATCTACGTACGAATGAACACCAACCTAGAAACGAAGTGGAAGGGGGGTAGTTAGGTACTTAGCTGCGCATCGATCCTACGACCACACCCAGTCATGATAATGATGAATATAGTCATATGATTTAGACAATTACTAACCATCTGATCTTGTAGATCATTGCTAGCAATTTTAAACCTCACTGAATTCCGTATTCAATATATCATGTGGGTGTCAAATTCTCCAAGCCCTCTTTCCTCATTAAATTTTAACTGTATCTTTTTCTGATTCTAAGTATAATTTCGTTTCCATTTTCCTTCAAACTTCCGTGTTACTCACATGCTCCATCTATGGTATTCTCGACATCCTTCTGCGGAGACACATCTCTGTTGCCTGA